TCCCTTAGTACTCCTACTTTGAATGGTCCAGAGATTTAAAAATGAAAAAAAAAAGACTCAAACAACTTTGATGAACGGTCGGAAGGCATCTATGAGTGTTATCTATGATTCATGTTTTCATTTACAAAACATAGAACTTTGTCCATAGACATCATAGTGAAATACTAGTTTTCAGAAGTTTTAATCCATGAGAACCATCTACAGTACGTGATTCGCATTATGGCCCATAATGTACAATCTTAAACTCGGAGGGAAGTCTGATTTTTAGAACTTAATTTTCAAGTCCTAACTACGACTCATAGAACCTTTTACAACTTGTAGTCCTTGCTCTTCCTATTCGGGTAAATTTAAGTTTCTAGAACTTATATACGAATCGTGTTGATAATCTGTAAAAGGGTTACGTAGTATAAAATCAACTCATGACTTAAGTTTTTGTTTATGAAGTGTCATATATGGATCCCATCTAAGGCTTGTGGTTTCGTTTACGATCCATAGATGATATTCGTAAATATAAAAATTCTATCAAGTTAGAATTTTTTAAATTGTCCAAACCTGGTCTGCATTGAGGGACTTCTGAGATGTTACTGTCTCAAGTTTACAAAAATTAATTTAAGAAATGTGTAGTTAATGTAGTGGTAATATATTGAGAGGAAAAATATATTTCTTTTATATAATAAAATGAATATGTAAAAAAAAAGTAATGGACTAATAAAAGTGAAAGGATGAAATGATAGTTTTGTAACGAGCGCGTCAAAGGACCGGAGTGAGTAATTTTATAGTGAGTTATCACTATCAGTATTTTCATCTCTCACTAACTAAAAAAGCTATTATTGTCTCTTCGATCCTATTTATTAATCAATTTTTACTAACATAGTTATTTCAAAAGATTTATCTTTTCAGAAAATAAGATAATTATTTTTTCAATTCTAGTCATTACTACTTATTAGATAGGCAATATAGAAAAATTTAACATGGCTCACTTTTAGAGGTGTTTTTTTTGTTGCTATTTTTTATTTATTAGAGAAAATTTGGTGTTAGCTTGTTTGGAGTAACTTATAACATTTAAGAATAATTTTACTGACATATTCTCGAGTTTCGCTTCATAACATTTATCTCCCATCTAACATATAATTCCACACTTATTTTGGTTAGTTTGATTTCTTTGTTACGATTCCTTTAAAATATTTATGAGAAATAGCCAAAAGATACCTAATATATTACCAAATTCTCAACTACACACTTATACTTCACGAGGGTCCTATTACCCCGTTAACATTTTAAATGTATGATATATACCCGTTTAAAAAAACTCACGCCCAAATTTGTATCAAAATATTAAGTGGCACACGCTTGCCACGTAATTTACCTTTCAATAAATTAAAAAAATAATATTTTTTCCTTTATTTTACTTTTTCTTTTATATTGCCCTTCTTGTCATTCTCTTCTATTTCCTTTCTTGCTCATTTTTTTTCTATACTTTGGTGGAATGATTTTTTAAACTAGCGAAGCAACCTTAAATTTAGAATCCCTTGAGTTAACTTTTTTTCCCATAAACCTTATGTACATCAATTGAAAATTCTTCATGAATTTTGTTCAATAAAATAAAAAAATTAAAAAAGGTTGATTGATGGTAAAAAGATTTACCATTTGATGTTATTTTGTAGGATATGTAATTAATGTATTGCATTGAAGCTTAGTGATGAACACAAAAGAGTGATAGTTTTCAATATTACTTTAAATTTGATTTTTCAAAGTGAATTTTCAATTTTTTGGTTGAAATTATTGAGAGTTTAGCAACTTTAAAGATGAAGTGGTTAGGTCAGGATAACATAACTACGAAATTTTATAAATTTCACTCAAGGATTTCTAAATTTATCCATTAATGACACTAAAATTTGATCCTCTTGACTTTCAATTTTAATTTTAATTTTAAGTTGTTGTCAATTTTTCAAATGAATTTACCGTAAAATAATTGTGATTTGAGGGTAAAAATCTGCTTAATCATAGGAGGCTGACAAATGACTTGGTGGTGGAACTGAGTTTTCATCAATGCTTATGGTGAAGAGAGAAAAATAAAACGTTAAAAAAATTGAAAATGAAAGGAAACTATTTTTTTAATTAAAAAAAAATAGAAAACCAATATAAACTGTGAAGAAGCTCTGTTAATGAGCTTCAAGAAGAAGAAAGGAAGAAGATGAAGTAGACGAGAGAGAATGAGGAAATTGTGTAACTATATTTTCTGTGTGTATTTTCTCATAGGCTTACATACCTATATATATATATACAATTTACATAAGTGTATATACAAGATACTTAGCCTAACTACTTTACTTAACTAACTAATTTGTAGTTAACTAACTAACTAACTAACAACCTTACAACTAGAATATTAAAAGAATAGTACAAAGATTAGTATACAAGTTCTCTTAACACTCCCCCTCAAGCTAAGAATTGGAAAATACATTTTTCATTCCTAGCTTGACAATTAGTTCTTCATGTTGAGGCTTGCACAACCCTTTAGTAAGTATATCAGCTTGTTGTTCTCTTGTTCCCAAGTGTTGTGTCTGAATCAGTTCTTCAAGTATCTTCTCTCTTACAAAATGACAATCTATGTCAAAATGTTTTGTTCTTTCATGGAAGATTGGATGTGCTGCAATTTGGATAGCAGCTTTGTTATCACAAAATACTTTCACTGGCAACTGTATGTTCATTCCTAACTCTTTGAATAAGCCCTTTAACCAGACTATCTCAGCAACTGTCGTGGCCATACTCCTGAATTCAGCTTCTGCAGAGCTCCTTGATATTGTGTTTTGTTTCTTTGATTTCCAAGACACCAGTGTTCCTCCTAGTTTGATCATATAACCAGTAACTGACCTCCTTGTTTCTACACAAGCTCCCCAGTCAGAGTCACAATAAGCAACCATCTCATTGTTTTTGTTACTTGGCATAAACAGTCCAAGCCCTGCAGTTCCTTTTATATATCTCACAACTCTGAGTGCAGCTTCCATATGAGATGATTTAGGTGAGTGCATATATTGGCTAAGAACCTGTACTACAAAAGATAGATCAGGTCTAGTCATGGTTAAATATAGTAACTTTCCTACAAGTCTCTGATATTTTCCAAACTCATCAAGAACTAAGTCTTCTGCATTAGAATTTTTTCCAATAACTTCATCAAACACAGTAGAGGTTAACTTGTGATTAAACTCCAAAGGTGTAGAGTAAGGCTTGCATCATGCTAACCCCAGCTTAGCCACAAGTCCTAAAGCATACTTCCTTTGATTCATAAGTATACCTTCCTTAGATCTGGAGAATTCAATTCCAAGAAAATATTTAAGCTCATCAAGATCTTTCATTCTAAACCTTAGTTGTAGGTCCTTCCTTATTTGTTGTATATGATGCAAACTGCTCCCAGTAACCAGGAGATCATCAACATAAACCAAGATGACTAGAAGATCTTTACCTATGTTCTTAGTAAAAAGTGAGTAATCATAATTAGATTGTGAAAATCCCATATCAACTAAGGCTTCTGTTAGTTTTAAGTTCCATTGCCTTGGTTCTTGCTTCAGCCCATACAAGGACTTATGAAGTTTGCAAACCATATTTTTCTCCCCCTGGCTTGCAAAAACTTCAGGTATCTGCATATAAACTTCTTCAGGAAGGTCACCTTGAAGAAATGCATTGTGAACATCTATTTGGAATATAAACCAGCCACATGAAGTAGCTAAAGCCACTACTGACCTCACTGTAACCATCTTAGCTACTGGTGAGAATGTCTCAGTATAGTCTAAGCCTTCCTTTTGATTGTACCCTTTTGCTACTAACCTGGCTTTATACTTCTCAACTTCTCCAGATACTTTATACTTAACTTTAAACACCCACTTACAGCCAATAGGAACCTTTGTTGAAGGTAAAGGAACAATAGACCAAGTATTATTGTTTTCTAGAGCATTGATCTCATCTTTCATGGCATTTACCCAATGAGTATCTTGACAGGCCTCTTTATATGTATGAGGTTCAGGAATAAGAGAATATGCAGCAAGAGATGCTCTATATGTAGGGGCTAGTTTAGAATAGGTAACATATTGTGACATAGGATATAAACATGCACTTTGTGCACTTTCAGTCACATATGAGTCCATCCAAATAGGTGGTTTAGATTGTCCAGAGGATCTTCTTAAAGGAACTAATGGGGTTGTAGTGTTAGAAGAAGTCTGAGGCTGTATAGAAGTTGTAGGATTTAAACCAGGAATGAAAGTTTTATCAGATTCTGATTCAAATGACTCAGTACATAAGCTATCTTGAAGATCTAGAACTGGAAACAGATGATCTGGAAATGATTGAAGACTCTTGAAAGGTAATATATCTTCTTTAAACACAGTGTCTCTGCTTATAAAGAAAGATTTGCAAGTCAAGTTATATAAAATATAACCTTTCTTGTTCATAGAATACCCCATATGCACAGCTGGAACAGCTCTAGGTGCAAACTTGTCTATAACTTTAGGATCTGTAGCATAGCATAGACTTCCAAGCACTTTAAGATGCTGAAGATTAGGAGCTTGTCCAAATAGCCTTTCAAAAGAACTTTGTCCTTTTAACAACTCAGTAGGTAGTCTATTTAGTATATATACAGCAGTAGTAACACAAAATCCCCAAAATTGTAGAGGTATACCAGCCTGAAACCTTATGTTAAGAATAGACCTATGTTTTCTCTCAACTACTCTATTCTGTTGAGGAGTATACACACATGAACTTTGATGTATAATGCCATTAGTCTTGAATAGATCATCCATTTGACCATTAACAAACTTTGTTCCATTGTCTGTTCTTATACACTTAATGCCTACACCAAACTGATTTCTTACCAAGTTTACAAAATCTTTTAATACTACCACAGTATCTGACTTAGTGTGCAATAAGAAAATCCAAGTATATCTGGACATATCATCCACAAGAGATAAAAAATACCTTTTACCATCATGATTAGGTACTCTGTAGGGTCACCATACATCACCATGTATAATATCAAAAATTGAGCTTGAATGAGAAAGACTAATAGGAAAAGGAAGTCTTGACTGCTTGGCAATTGGACATATAGAACAATGTTGATCATTTACAGACACAATGTTTAAATCTTTTATTCTACTTAACACTTTGAGAGGAGCATGTCCAAGTCTTTTATGCCATAAGCTACTTGCAGACTCAACAGTAGAATTAAAGCTAATAGGATTCCTTTTACATGCATCTTCCTTTGCATATTTTCCAGAAGAACCTTGATCATTTGAAAGCTTAGTTGTTGCAGCAGTATTGAGAATATACAATCCTTGATTCTCTTTACCAATCCCCAGGACCCTCCCATTGAAGAGATCCTGAAAAATACAGAAATCAGGAAAAAATACTACTGTACACCTCAACTGTTTTGTTAGTTGTGACACTGATAGAAGATTATACTTGAATTCTGGAACAAACAACACATCCTTTACTACTTTGTCTTTCAGAATCATAGGTTCACCAATATGGCTAATAGATACCTGATCACCAGTAGGTAAATTAACTCTCATACCTCCCTGAACATCAAGATTTGCTGACTGACTCATTAAACCAAAGTTGTGAACCATATGATTGGAAGCACCAGTATCTATAATCCAATTAATTTGTGACATATCAGACATTAGAGCTGTAATCTTACCTGATGTTCCAGATACTCCTGCAGTAGCTACATTGGCCATTGTATCCACTTCCTTACTCTTCCCTTTTCTCAGCATCTGTAATATCTCATAGTATTGTTCTTGAGTAAACATTGATACACCCTGTCCTAAACTAGTATCATTAGATGATTCATTTATTCTAGCATTTGAACTTGAAGTTGAGTCTATCATTCCAGACTCATTACTAGCAGAGGCAGCATTATTTGCATAAGAAGATACTCCTCCTTTCTTCTTTGGATAACCATGTAGTTTATAACAAGTTTCTTTTGTATGTCCTTTATAATGACAGAATTCACAATAGAGTTGAGTCTTTCCTGCAGAGTAACCAGTTCTTCCATCTCCATACCCCTTATTTCTATATCCATTATTCTGAAAATTAGAAATTCCCCTTCCATTTCCTGAGGAAGTTGTATTATTGTTGTAGTATCCACCATGTACAGACTGAGAAGAACTAGGAGGCATTCTATTACTCATGAATGTTGTTTCAGATACAGCTTCTGCAGATGCAAATGTATTTCCTGCACCATGTATTCTTTGACTTTCAACACTAACAATCATAGCATAAGCTTGATTTACACTTGGCACTGGAATTTGCATCAAGACTTGGCTTCTTGCATGAGCATAAGATTCATTAAGCCCCATCAGAAATTGCCACAACTTTTGAAATTGTAAGTGTTCAATATATTGCTTAGACTCAGGACAGGCACATGAAGGACAAAGAATCAAGGTTTCAGCCTCATCCCATAACTCTCTTAATCTTGAAAAATAGATTGACACAGAAGAAGTTCCTTGTGACATAGTAACTGATTCTTTGTGAAGATAAAAGGCCCTAGATGCATTTACTTTATCAAATCTTTCACGCAGATCTTCCCACACTGAATGAGCATCAGATCCATAGATCACTGTACTAATCAGACTTTTAGACACAGTATTCATAATCCATCCAAGAACAATTGCATTGCATCTATCCCATACATCATGTAAACATTCAGAATACATCTCCTTTTTACAAGTACCAAGTAGAAATTCTAATTTGTTTTTCCCTAGTAACACAAGCTTTAAAGATTTGCTCCACAAAGAGTAATTTTCAGAACCCAACAATTGAATTGAAATCAGAACAGAACCTTGAGTATCTGAAGGATGTATAAAGAGGGGATGATTGTGATCTATTTTGGCAGTAGTTGCGACTGGAATTTGTTGTTGAACTTCACTTGAAGCTCCATCTCCAGTTGAAGGCATGATTTGATCAATTTCAACAACTAACAGTCTTCAATTTAGACAGACACTCGATCTTCAACTCAAGATTCTTAGAACTCTTGTCTTCAGATTGTGAAGAAGCTAACTCAGAGACTCAGATCTTCAATGGCTCTGATACCATGTGAAGAAGCTCTACTAATGAGCTTCAAGAAGAAGAAAGGAAGAAGATGAAGTAGACGAAAGAGTATGAGGAAATTGTGTAACTATATTTTCTGTGTGTATTTTCTCATAGGCTTACATACCTATATATATATACAATTTACATAAGTGTATATACAAGATACTTAGCCTAACTACTTTACTTAACTAACTAATTTATAGTTAATTAACTAACTAACTAACAACCTTACAACTAGAATATTAAAAGAATAGTACAAAGATTAGTATACAAGTTCTCTTAACATAAACTAAAAAGCAATCTAAAAATTAAAGTTTTAACTATTAGTTTACTTCTCACTCTCTCAAAGATTGTAAACTGCACTTTCTTTGCCACGGAAATAATTTTATTTTAAAATAGTTTAAAGGAATAATAGGATTTGTAAAATATATTAGGAGGTCTTTTGACTTTTTTCTCACATATTTATCAGTGATGCAAAAATATCTACTTGAAATTTATTTATATCAATTTCAGCCTTTTCATTTATTTTATTCACTATTACCTCTAAGTTAATTAAAATAAAGAGGTGTATAATTTGCTCTCTTCCCTGTTGTTGGACACAAATTTTAAGGTATCTATCATAATATACCTGAAATCAATTTTTAATGAAATAATTGAAATACAACAAGTGAATCCTGTGTATAATGTTTATTTTTAACGAAAATCAGCATGCCATTATTTTCAATTTTTTCAACAAATCTTTCGACCTTATCAAAAAAAATTCCCATCCAAAACTTTTTTAGAAAAATTGTTCCATGATAAGTAGCTATTTTTTTCTCTGTCTTCTTTTAAGAGCATTTATATACTAAAGATATTGTAATATAGATAGTGTAAGACTGTAAGTAATGTAACTATTTTATTTTCTGGTTCTTTTTTTCAATTTCTGTTAAGTTTAGTAGGTCGAGTTTGTTAAGTATATGAGAATAAGAAGACTCATTTTTAGCAAATAGTATGTTAAAATTAAACTGTTCAAAAATATACTTAAGGGACACTTCCGAATCTATCCTCGAATAGAAGGGATATTTTTATTATTCTCTCACATTTTAGATAGGATTCTATGCAAATTTTGTTTAAGTTGTTTTCTTAAATAAAAAAATAGGTAAAATTAAGGGACCATCTGTTTGATAGGAAAAAAATATATTTCAATTTTCTCTGTTCAATTTTCTAAATTATTTTTAAAAATATTTTCTCTAATTTAAAAACATCTTATCCACTCTCCAACATACTTTCTCTCTCCTGCACCACCTTTTCCCGGCCCATAGCCTCATTACCACCAGTTCATACGCCTACCTACCCACTGTCGATTTTCATGGTAATTATCCAAATACTATAAAATATAAATATTATAAGAATTAACTTTTTTCTAACTTATAAAACATAAGAAGATAAATCAAAGGCGATTTAAATTGACTTTTAATTTTTGATTTATAAGTCAAAATGTATAAATTAGGATTAAATAAAAGTCACGAGCTAGAAATTATAACTTATGAATTTTAGCTTATTTTTGTTAGTGTAGTTTAACATTAAGTACTTATAAATAATGTTGAAGTTGATAAGAGATAAGATTATGAAGGAGTTAGTTATAGTTAGTTAGCTTTCCGTTATAGTTAACAGCCTTGTTTAGTTAGTTAATTTTCTGTTAGTGTTAGTTATTTTTCCTTCAATCTTCAATTGTATAAGTATCACTACTACATGTAATTCATCACACTTTTCTTCTCCTCTCTTTTCAATCTGAGAAATTGTTCTCTCTATCCTCACCTTTACATTCAGTTGCAGCCACCATTAATGGTGGTTTATCACAGCTTTGAGCTTCAACATGGTATCAGAGCACTCGTTCGATCACTTCCGCTTGTCTTCGTCTCTGTTCAAGCTGTGAAGATCTCAAATCTCTCTGTTCGTCTTCCATCTCTGTTCTTCTTGTGAAGATTGAATCTGTCGAGTTTACTTGTGTTCATTCTGTTTTTCTGCTGTTTTCTGTTGCATTCTTACACAATTCTCATCCATTCTTTTGATTGGTTTTTGTTGCACTACAATGGTAGAGGTAACTAATTTGGAAGTAACTAAGGGAATTGAAATAGGAAGTGTGCTGTATCTACATCCATCAGACAATCCAGGTGCACCTCTTGTACCAGTTGTTTTCGATGGAATTGGTTATCGAACCTGGAAGAGAGGCATGATCAGGTCTTTATCAGTTAAAAATAAATTGGGGTTCATTAATGGAGATTCTAAGAAACCACTTCCTACAGATCCAAACTATAAACAATGGGAGAGGTGTGATAATATGGTTACGTCTTGGATTTTGAACTCATTAAGTCGAGATATCGCTGATAGTGTAGCATATGTTGATAGTGCTTTGGAGTTATGGACTTATTTGGAGTATCGTTATGATCAAACCAATGGTGCCAAGTTATATCAAATTCAAAAGGAAATCAACGATCTCATTCAAGGAGTTATGGATGTCACAGCTTACTACACCAAGATGAAGAAACTCTGGGAAGAACTGAGTGGTTTATGCATCAAAACTCACTTTAATTGTATATGTAGCTGTGGAGCAAAGGATATGATGCACAAGGTTGTACAGGATAGACGATTAATTCAGTTTCTTATGGGTCTTAATGAGGTCTATACAACGATTAGAGGGAACATTTTGATGATGAATCCAATGCCATCTGTGGCACAAGCTTTTGCCCTGTTGATACAAGAGGAGAAACAAAGAGAGTTTAAGACAAACAATCAATCCTTTGCTGAGACTAGTTCTCTTGTGGCTACTTGAAGCAATCAATCCTTTGCTGAGACTAGTTCTCTTGTGGCTACTTCTTCAAGTACTTCAGGCACTTCTGGTAATCCAAAAGGCCAGAATTTCCAGACGAATTACTCATCTACTTCTTCAAATTATAGAGGGAGACCATATTGTGAACACTGCAGGAGACCAGGACATTTTAAAGAAAAATGTTATCAGTTGCATGGATATCCACAGAATAATAACAGACCTCAAAGATCCCAATCTAATGGACAGCAAGGCTATAATCAATTTCAAAGACAACAACAATATGAAAATCCTAGTTCTAATCAGCCATACAGAAACAATAACAAAGGGAAAGGTGTAGCAGCTAATTCTGCAATGTCATGTGATTCTAATGTGGAACAAGGTTGTAACTCTGGGAGTCAAACCACCAGCCAAGATATTGGCATCTCAAAGGAACAGTATGGACAACTTGCCTACCTGCTTCAACAATTTCAGGCAGAAAATTCAAGTAACATGAAAGCAACAAATCCTGCTGTGAATTTTGCAGGTATCATTACATGCACTTCATCTATAGCTTTTGACAAACTGTCATGTGAATGTTATAAGGCTAAAACTGACTTGTGGATCTTAGACTCAGGTGCATCACACCATATGACCTTTAACAAACAACATCTCACCAATATTCTACCCTTACCTGAACCTGTTTTAGTCAGATTACCAAATGGCTATAAAGTCAAGGTCATAGAAGTTGGAAATGTGCAAATAACTTCACAGATCACATTGTACAATGTCTTGTTCGTTCCTTCTTTCAAATACAACTTGATATCAATTAATTCCTTAACTCTACATCTTAAATGTGTTGTTTCCTTCTCTAACACATCTTGTCTATTGCAGGCCCCTTCACTGAAGAGGCCTCTGGAAATTGGTAAAGCTCATGATGGCTTGTATCTTCTTTGTTCAGATTGTTTACAAAAGAGCAAGAATTCCACTTCATTTACCACATGTCTATCACTTCATAATACTGATAGGTTACATAGTCAGTGTATTTCTCATTCATGTTTGCCTCATCAAGATGTTTCTGTATTGAACAGTTCATCTAATAATAAGAAAACTGTTTCTGTTGATAAAAATGTTGTCATCCCTGGTGATAGTGCAGACTTGTTGTGGCATTATAGACTTGGTCATATTCCTTTTGTTAAAATGAAGAATATATCCTCCATACCTATGAATTTTTCACACAAACAACCTTTCATTTGTCCAATCTGCCCAATGGCAAGGCAAACAAGACTACCTTTTCCACAGAACATTAGTAGAAGCACTGCCATTTTTGACTTAGTCCATGTTGATTTATGGGGGCCATATCAAACACCCACACATGACAATTTTAGATTTTTCCTTACTTTGGTAGATGATTTCAGTAGGTCTACTTGGACACATTTGTTGAGTCATAAAAGTAATGCCTTACATGTTATTAAAACATTCACTAATATAGTTGAAAATCAATTCAAAACTACCATTAAGGTGATTAGATCCGATAATGGACTTGAGTTTACCAATGCTGAGTCTATCCAATTCTTTCAATCTAAAGGCATTGTTCACCAAAAATCCTGTCCATACACACCTGAACAAAATGGTGTGGTAGAAAGAAAACATAAGTACATTCTTGAAACAGCCAGGGCACTTCTTTTCCAGTCCAAACTTCCTACAAAGTATTGGGGAGAATGCATTTTAACAACTACATATATCATTAATAGACTTCCATCTGCACCATTAAACAACAAATGTCCATATGAAGTTTTGCATGGTTTAAAACCTTTTTACTCACATTTAAGAAGTTTTCGTTGCTTGTGTTATCCAACCTTCCCTAAAGTACAAAGATCAAAGTTTGATCCTAGAACTTCTCCACATATATTTGTAGGATATCCATCTGATACAAAAGGATACAAGGTCATGAGTCTAGCCACTAAAAGATTGTATGTCTCCAGGGATGTCATTTTTCATGAGAACATTTTCCCTTTTGCAATGAATAAAGATCCTACTTTCTTTCCTCTTTCTTCTCCTACTCATTGTTCTACTGATCAATATGATTATACTACTTTTAATCCTTCCTTTGACTCTAATGTACAGTGTGATTCTGAGATGTCAAATGACACAAATCCTCCTTCATCTCCTGATTTTTCTAGTCCACAATCTGTTCCCTCAACTTCAACACTTTGTCAACCTGATATAGCAACCAGAAAATCTCACAGAACTCACAAATTGCCCACATACCTGTCAGATTATGTTCATTCTATACCCATCTCACAGTCTATAGAAAACCACACATTAACTCCTACCTCATTGACTGCATGTTTTTCTTCTAAACACCATATATCCTCTACAGAATTGGATCCAAAAAGTCAAGTTTTTGCTTTAAATATTACTCATGACTGTGAGCCATCTAGCTATGCAGAAGCTGCTCTTGATCCTGCATGGCAAACAGCCATGACTCAGGAATTTGCTGCCTTACATGATAATAATACTTGGTCCCTTACTTCTTTACCTAATGGCAAGAAAGCTATTGGTTGTCGATGGGTGTATAGAATCAAACACAAGGCTGATGGAACTGTGGAAAGATACAAGGCAAGACTAGTGGTTAAAGGGTACACTCAACATCTTGGCATAGATTATACAGAAACCTTTTCCCCAGTTGTTAAGATGACAACTGTCAGATCCTTAATTGCCATAGCCACAAAGAAACAATGGAATATTTACCAACTTGATGTCAATAATGCTTTTCTCCATGGAGATTTGAATGAAGAAGTTTATATGGATATACCTCCTGGTCTTGCTGTATCACAAACAGGGCTAGTATGTAAACTAAACAAGTCCTTATATGGTCTAAAACAAGCAAGCAGACAATGGTATGAGAAGCTAACTGCAGCTTTGAGTTCAAGGGGTTATACTAATTCCTTATATGATTATTCATTATTCTATAGGAAAAGGGGTTCTTCTACTGTGTTTTTGGGTGTTTATGTAGATGATATAATCCTCACAGGAACAGACTCTGAAGAAATTGTTAGTCTCAAAAATTTTCTTCATGATCAGTTCAAAATCAAGGATCTTGGTAGATTGCATTATTTCTTGGGACTGGAAATTTTATATAAAGATGATGGAGTCATCATATCCCAGAGGAAATTTGTTCATGATCTTCTTAAGGAATTCCATTGTGATAATCTGACTTCCATGACTTCACCATTGGATCCTAATGCCAAACTTAAAGCTCATGAGGGCAAGTTATTAAGTGATCCTACATTGTATAGGAAGCTGGTAGGAAAACTGAATTTTCTCACTCACACCAGACTTGATATTGCCTATGGAGTTCAACATTTAAGTCAGTATATGCAAGATCCCAGAGAACCTCATCTTCAAGCTGCATTTCACATGTTGAGATACCTCAAAAGTGATCCTACTCTTGGCATCTTTATGTCATCCTCTGCTAATTTTGAGGTTCAGGCTTTTTGTGACTCAGATTGGGCATCATGCCCTGACTCTAGAAAATCTGTTAGTGGTTACATTGTCCTGCTGGGGAATAGTCCAATTAGCTGGAAATCTAAGAAGCAGGAGACCATTTCATTATCCTCTGCAGAAGCTGAGTACAGATCATTGCGAAAAGTGGTTGGAGAACTAGTTTGGTTGCATAGATTGTTCACTGAATTGACTGTTCCTCCTACTGGTCCTTTTCCAATATATTGTGATAGTCAGGCTGCTTTGCATATAGCCAAGAATCCAGCCTTTCACGAGCGAACCAAACACATAGAAGTTGATTGTCATTTTGTGAGGTCCAAACTTCATGAAGGTCTGATTTCATTACATCACATTGGCACAGTCGATCAATTGGCAGATATACTCACAAAGGCTCTCACAGGAATCAAACATTCTGCTATGATGGACAAGTTGGCTGTGTTTACTACACCTCCAACTTGAGGGGGGGGGGGGTGTTGAAGTTGATAAGAGATAAGATTATGAAGGAGTTAGTTATAGTTAGTTAGCTTTCCGTTATAGTTAACAGCCTTGTTTAGTTAGTTAATTTTCTGTTAGTGTTAGTTATTTTTCCTTCAATCTTCAATTGTATAAGTATCACTACTACATGTAATTCATCACACTTTTCTTCTCCTCTCTTTTCAATCTGAGAAATTGTTCTCTCTATCCTCAACTTTACATTCAGTTGCAGCCACCATTAATGGTGGTTTATCATAGCTTTGAGCTTCAACATCACAGCTTTGAGCTTCAACAAATAACTTTTGAAATTTATCCTTACACTAAAAAGGTACTTCAAAAATGATTTTAACTCAATACACCTAAGAGAATGAATCCAAACAGACTCTAAAAAGCTGACTTATTTTTGTAAAGCTAATCTTAAAAAAAAAAAATCATTTTCCTTTCGCACTACCAAATAGATAGTACCTAATTTGTATATAACAAAACAAAGAATAGTAATTTTTAATGATGGATAGTCTCCACTCTCCACCGCCAGTCTGGGATTCTTAATACTTATAGTAGGTAAGATTGTCAATTATTTCCATCTTCTAATAGTTTAAAACAAATAAGAAAATAATATTATAATGCCATTTGGACTGTTGGAGTCATAATTATTTTCTACCCAAATATATGACCTGGCTTACCAAAATTAGGAAGGTTCATGGTCAAATTTGAGGCAATCAAATTCTATAAGGTAATTGTTTACTCATAGTTTAGTTTCTATTTCAGATTTTAAAAATGTGCAAAACAAACTTTATTTAATTTACAAGAAATATGATAATACCAACGAGATGAATTTGATATTAAAAAAAAAATTACTCATACGTTCACACTTACAAAATTCATTGTGATTTGTGAATAATGTCTGGATAAGTGATTCCATATATTACTTAATTCATTCAGATTTTATTTATTTTGTGTATGTGGTGACAATGACAATCTGTTAATACATTAGTAAAGAATAATATATTTAAACTTATAAGTTACATTTATGTTCTTAAGTTAAATCCAACAATGATATTTGCAGGAAGTTGAAAAGGTAAAAAATTTTAAAGCAAAATGCAGAAGGAGCTAGATGTAGTAGTAAGAAATTTAAATGTGTAAAGAAAATGCTGAAGGAGAAAAATCTGCAGAAAGGGTTTTAAATGTGTAAAGAAAATGCTGAAGGAGAAAAATCTGCAGAAAGGGAGAGAGACTGGTGACGCGGGAAATTGGCAATATCCGGTGACGATGGATACTAGTTAATCTCGTAGTAGTTTATACTATAGTTTCCCCGGATCATGACTTAAACAAGAAAACAAAAGAAAAATACAAATATTACAAAACGGAAGTCATTCTACTAGGATTACAGAGCACCCAACATAAGAATACATAGTATCAGTAATAGAAAAACTGATGTATACATGGTAAAATCAGTAAGGAGTGTAGTAGTACCCTCCTGCAGGGGGTACTCCAACGCCATTTACTGGTGGCATGCCATAAGGCATCCCAACTGCTTGGTATCCGCCACTGCTGATCTTGGACAAACTCGTCTGTCCTTGCATCCCATTTCTAGCATATTGCTGCCATAGAATTTGCTCCTGCACAAGTAATTGTTGTTTCTTCTCCAAATCCGCCATTTGTACATAAGCAGGAGGTGGAACACTCAAAGATGCAGCAAATGGATCCTGTCCAACGGTCTGGACTGTTCCATCGGGTGCAGGGAGTGCTAAAACCGGTGTTGAACTCTTCCCTGGTCCAGGTAATGCTACACTGCTCGCACTACCACCACTTGACTGAGCAGTGGCAACATGTTGCCTAACCATCCCTTGATCATACATGCCATTCAACAGCAGTGGATCAAGTCCACCACCCATTGTTGCCTTCTGCTGAGACAGATGACTAGCTGTCTCAACCAAAGCCAACTCCCAATCAGCCTTACCACTCTCAGCCGCTGGATTCTGCCAAGCAGAGGTTACCTCAGGTCCCCCATTGGAGGAGAATGCTTCCCATGATCCATTGTTTGTTACAGGCCCTGCAAACAATGCCAACGCAAATTTATTTCCTTGATCATCGGCAGTAACACCCTCTTCCCTTAAATCCACCAAATCCCCAGTCTCCTGAACCACTGCCGCTGGCTTAGGAGACTCTGGTTTAGGTGGGGGTGGAGGAGTATAATCCTCTGGTGGAGGCAAGGCTTTAATCTCATTCATATCGGGTGGTGATTCTTCTGATGGAGTTGGCAGAGGCTCAACTTTCCTCTCGGGACTTTTTGTTGCCTTAGACCTATCCCTCACAAACTCCTCTAGTGTATCCAATAGCTTGCTTGTTATCCTCTGAACTTCTGGATACTCGGACGACCTAGCAATACCAATATCCTTGCACCAGTTATAGAATCCCACCAGCTCATCGATCTGCTTTGATGCGCTAGCATATGCATCAAATGCCTTAACACAATCCTCATACTCCATATCAAAGAATTTATCCAACAAGATAGCTAAAACCTCACATATATCAGCATAAAGCTGAAAACTTTCTTTCACCATAGGATACAAAGTAACCAACACCATTCTTTCATTTTTAGCTAATCCAGTTGGTCGACAAGACAAAAACCGATCCAACAACCTCTGCAAATGACTCATCTTCCCAAAGATCCTCTGGGGTTCCATTTGTCGCAATGGGGTCACATCTTTCTGATCCTGTACTGTTGACTCCCTCACATCCCCAGACGATCTGGACTTCCTCATTCCATAACCAGGCTCATCTCTGAACTCACCATAATCATAGCCTCTGTTGTTAGAGGCAGGTGGAGATCTCCACCTTTCTTCTCTAGACCCATATCTCTCAATTTCTCCACCATCCCCATTTTGCTTTCTCTCAAAAACCATCATCTCCAATCTTTGATCTAAATACAAAGCATAAGTTCTAACAAAGGCCGAATGATCCCATGAATTAGAATGAGCCTCATCGCGAAAATCAGACAAATTGAGAAGTCTTGTGCCTCTCCTGGTGGCATACATAATTTCTTGGTGAAAAACAGGATCACCATCATTGAGAAGACGGTGAATAAGCATCAAACACTTGATGGCAACGATCCAATCCCTGGTTTTGCCTAACCTCTTAGATATTGATGAAACACAAGCAGTGACATAGCCACGCGAACAACAAGTCAAATGAAGAATCTCTCGGATATACTTCTCGCTTGCAGGGTCATCATCATGGCTAGTCGCCTTAACAATCGCAACTTCCAGCTCCGGTGCCATATTACTCCCTACCTTCGCAATCCCTATGCTTGTCTGGTCCTTCACCGCCCCAATCGCCTTCCGAATCGTGCTAGGCGCCATGATACCCTTCACAGTTTTCTTCCTCTTCCTTCTTTTAAAACCAAAAATTCAAAGGTTACAACTTTAAATCACAATACAAAAACAACAACTACGTAGTGGATCTAAATCCCAATACAATTGGCTTGAATTCTGACAATAAGAATACTCTACTATTAGTTGGACTCCATATTTCACACAATTCAGGACGCCCAAGAAAAATAATCAAACCTGTTGACTTGAAAATACGACTGTACAAGTTTCTATATTTGCTCCATTAAATTCAAATACCAAAAAATACAATATCTAGAAAAATAACATCTTTATGACTTGAAAGTAATAAGTTCTTATATTTTCTCCATTAAATTCAAAAATTCTTAAACTAAACCCAGAACCAAAAGATGCAACAACTACAAAACCAGCAAAAAAATAATTTTTTTTTTAAAAAAGGTTGAAGTAGATACACACCAGAAGCAAGAAAACAAGGTCGGAAGATTGAAGCAAAAACAAAAAGAGAAGAGAAAATGGATTGCCGACAAATGGTGGCGTGAATTTTCTCTCTCTAGATTTGATGCAAGCTTAGAGGAGAGGGAGAAAATGGGAACATAGTTAAAGAAGGAAAGAGAGTGGAGAAAAGGAAAGTAGATCTATAAAAGTGGAGGACAATATGAACCGTTGGATTAGAATCGTAGAGGAAAGTGTGTCGAAGCAACATAATAAGTTGTTCGAAAGAAAGACGGTGTGGCGCACATATACGATTAACACAAAATGGATGTGTGTTGTTTATTTTAGAGTTAAGTTAATGTCTTAACACCACCATTACCATGCTTTAATAATTTTCATATTCAATTGACTAGACTTGTCCAAAATCAAATAGAAATTGATAATTTGGTTATTGGGTCAGTGGTTCAAGTTAATGTTTTAATGATTCGGGTTCTTGGTTTACTATAAAGTTTTTATTAGCTTATCGATTTGGATCTCGGTTTGATCATATTTTTAATCAAATATCTCAATAACTCGATAAGAAATTTAATTAATTTCATTTATATCACTCAAAGCCTTGGGCACTTTTAGCTTTTGGGGTTTACACTTCAGTCTTGAAACTCTTTACAGTGACTTTGTAGTTGACACTCAAATGTCACAATAATATTCCAAAGTTGCGACTTCACTCATTGATTCATTGTCACTATTACCACACCGGCAAGTTATACTAAATATTATTATCTAAGTCTAAATTGAGGTTCACGTATTTGGTTCCCTTACTTTAAGTCTTCGTTTTTATCTTCTCATAATAGTTTATCTTTATAGTTCATACAAAAATTGACTTGGTTGTTATGAGGAATCCTTTTGGGTTTTTCAATTTGAGCAACATTGACATCTCTGTCCTGGTTAATATGGAGTTTTATTAAGTATTTTATGTAATAATGGACTAACAGGAGAAATTTCATCAATGACTACTGGCTACGACATGCTTTAATCAGTTATTAGTCCATTAGTAATTTTTCACAAAATTTTATGAATTGTTGACATTAAACCGAAAAACCATACCGATAATGATCACTAACTGATAAACCAATAAATGATAAATTGATATCTCAACAGTTCCATAACAATTTAGGATGATTACAAATCGATAACCAATAAATTCTAAAACCGAATCAAACCGACTGATACGCAGCCCTAAAATCGATGTTTCAACATGAAAATCAAATATTATTTATTTTAGAATTATTGAAATTTTGCATTTGAATTGCGTCATATTTCTTTGAAAAAAATATTTAGAATTTAAATTTTAAAAAATTAAGAAATGTGATTTACACTCTCAATTTCTATAAAATAGCAAAATCCATAACTTGACTAATTTAACTAGTGCAACATGCTCCAAGTATCATGGTAGTGTCACTAGTACTCCCACTTTTATAGTTTATAAGAAGTGGTGGTAAGAACCACTTGAGGGAAGGTACATTGATTTGCAGTGATAGTCATTTCGAAGGTGGCCAAGTCAGATATTGAGGGAGTGCTTAGTGGCCTCACTAAGGGGAAAAGATGTTCATCAGAAGCCTCATTACAACCCCTCATCAGCTCTAGCAGATCATCTGCCTCAGTAGAGTGTCTCGTATAGTGCAGGTGGTAGTCTTGCTAGAATAAATTCTATGCTTTTTAGACCTGCCAGGATTGAGAAGATTCCCTTGATGATGTAGTTATTGGTATGTTACGTGTATTTCAGCTTGTTGTTTATACATTACTCAATCTAGAGGCCACACTTTCCTTTGTGACTCTTTATATTACAGTAATTTTTTATGTCGGTTCTGACATCTTACCAAAACCATTCTCATTCTCTACTCATGTGATGAGTCAAACTTTGATAAACAGGTATGCAAATATTTCCAAAGTGTTAGTTTTCAAAAAGTAACCACAGGTGATCTAATAAAGTTGGACATGCTAGATTTTGATATTATTCTTGGCATAGACTAGTTACACTCTTATTATGCCTCAATCGATTGTAAGTAGATTTGTAATTCTAGTTTCCCGATGAACCATTCATATATTGTTAGTGTAGTACTTCAACGCCTATAGGTCGGGTTGTCTCTTACCTTAAGGCCAGAAATATGATATCTAAGAGTTGTATTTATCATTTAGTGTGAGTTAAGAATTAAAGGTCTGAAACCCCAACCCTTCAATCTGTTTTAGTGGTAAAGGAATTTTCAAAAGTATTATCCAAAGATATTCTCGGAGTTTCTCCCTAAAAGAAAATTTATTTCGAAATAGACTTTGTTTTAGATACCTAACTAATCTCAAATCCTTCTTATATAATTGCTCTAGTTGAGCTTACGGAGTTAAGTGATCAACTAAAATACCTTCTAGATAAAGTTTTCATCATATCGGTATCTCTGTAATGATGGTTCTCACAGAATGTATATTCATTACCGCCAACTGAGCTAAGGCATAATCAACAAGAAAAATCTCATTTCTAGAAATTATGACTTGTTCGATCAACTTCATGATGCTAAAATCTTGTCAAGGATAGGCATTAGATCAAGCTATCATGTCACAATTCAAAGTATATCCTAAACGTGACATGCCAAATAAGACCTCTAAAGATCCTAAACAAATCACTTGACGTAGGCATGACATAATGAAATACAATCTAAGAGATATAATCAAGATAAGTCTCAAATCATAAAATGACATAAACTATACCCACAAAGTACATAAGAGATACACACTGAACTACTAAATCTAACACAAGCCTTTCTAACACCATAAGAATGGTTGAGACATAACTCATACATTACGTACAAGTTTGAAATTAGAAAGGCACTAAAAGCAATAATGTGTCTATGATGTTTCCCTCGAACCATGAGGACTCACCAATCCAAATGATCAAGAAGAATAATTCTGATCTAAGCACATTCGAGAGGAGGAGCATCGTAATATAGGCACAAGTATGTATTAGTACATTGAATGTACTAAGTATGGACAAATGCATAAAAACATAGGCACATGCATGATAATCTAAAGAACTTTAAACATGATATGCATGACTAAGTAAAATGTAGTAAGACCCTTTTAAAAAACCATGAATCATAATAATGGTCAATGCACATTTAAAAAATAAGGAAAGTTTTCATAAAACATTTCAAAAAAATATTGTTCGTTTGTGGGATAGTTACCTTAACTGATAATAAGACCATGTGATCTATAACATGAAATCTTATATGACCCTCACACTGAAAAAGGAAGTCTATTTATCAAGGTAGAACTCTGTCACATTCATTCTTTGCTAAAGTGGATCCACTAGTTAGGTTATTTAAAACAATCCTAGCGGTAGAACCACCATCTCAAAATCCTCTCGTTACTAAGTAAATCCCAATGAAAAGACATAATCATATTCATATCAAATACTTATAAAGACATAATTAAGACTACTAATCCAATCATAAATTAATATTAGAGTATCTCCTTTCAAATCATGATATCATAAACTTCATAATAGATGCTTACCTTTATAATTAAGCGTCTAAATCATGATTTCATTCATATGTGAGAAAAGCTTTCACAAATCATTGAAAATTTATTTTAAAAACATCCTTTAGTCATAAATCACTTTTTTTTATAAAAAATGCATCAATCCTTAATAAAATTTATGATAGTAGTTAATAATGCGCATAATACATAATTCAAGTTCATAAAGTAGGAATAGGTATGGGTACATATGAAATCAATTGAAAACAATAAAATGGATCAAGTCATGCATAATAAGATTTAATGATCTACAACATCCCACCGATCCCCGATTCGACTCTACTCGTTGGTTTTGTTTCTATCAAGCCATAGAATTCTATGGACTCTTTCCCACGTCCTAATTGAATCATAATAAATAGGACCCATTTCATGAAACCGTAGATGATTAGGTGATATCGAAGTGGAGATTTTGATTTTTTGTTGGTAACCAATGAATTAAAGGAATCCATTGGTGAATAACAACATACCTTGGGTAATCAAAGCCCTAGAAATGGAGTTTAGAACCCTAAAGCTTGATGAAACCCTAACCCTTGATTTGAGAGCTCTTGAGAGAAAATTGGACAAGAAGACTTGAGAGATTTGGGAGATTTTGAGTTTATGAGAGAATTAACCTTAGTTTGAAGGGTAGAAACAATTATAGAGTAGTTATATGGCCAAAATGATGTAGTTTAGAGGTTAGGTAGGTAAGAAAAGATGAAAACACCCTTAATTAAAAACTACTAGACAAGTCAACGATTTGGACTGTACGAACCATCCCGGTCAACCATAGAACATGTTACTAGACATAAAATCTTGAGCCATTTTAACGAGACCTTCCTACGATCATTGTCCTATTTACAACTTGTAGGTCCAGTCCGTAGATCCCAAGTTCAAGACTAAAATTTTTCTACATCTCAAATACTCCTACGAAAACGCTCATATGGCTCGTAGAACACCCTATGACTCATATTGTTTACTCGTAGGTCAAACATCTACTACTTCATATTTTCCAAAACCCAACCCAATCCTATGATTGACTTCTTAGGGCCCGTAGGAATTCCAACGGTTTGTATATGGATTCCGTAGCACACTCACAATGCCACCAAGTTAGAGAACATCCTACGACTACCTCATATGTGTCATAGGCCCAACCACAAACCGTTTTGTTGGTCCATGGGAAAAGTTCTAAAACTTGACATATCCAACTTCCAGGACTCATTTCCACGATTACCTCTATGCACCGTGGGAACTTATGCACTCCATAGGTGGACTCGTTTAAGTTGACACCAATTTCCTCTAACAACTTCCTTTTCAACTCACTTACCAATTTGCAAGGTGTTACATTATCTCCTCCTTAGGAACTTTTGTCCTCTAATAAGACTCAAGCTAGAATGAATCGAGTATGAAAGGAGATCGAACAACCTAACATGAATGTAAATTACTGTCGCGCCCCATTTTCGCAGAAAACGGGTTTTGTGCACGACCTAACAACTCTTTTGGGATTTTGAGTTTGGAGTCGCCACCTAATGAATTAAGGCGCGTTAGGGCACCTATCTAACCTAACTAAGTCTAACTAAGGTAAACGAGCCAGAGAATTAGGGTAAGGGTTCAAATTACCTCGAGGGGAAGGTGTTAGGCATCCCTCGAGGTCCACAAGTGTGGGTCCCGG